CAAAAAGTTCATTCATCAGCCGAATGAATAATCAGCCGTCAAATCGACAGCACCGACATTGTACTGTCATCGCTGTGAAAGCTCGTCGGGGACGTACAACGTACACGTACGTTAACTCTTCGGGACACAAAACTGGGCATAATGCTTACGTCTCGAGAGTGGCATAGTGTTCCGGGGCAATCCATCAGTGGCTCCGTCGAGCCAACAGAGGGGAGAAAATACGACGCGCCCTTTTTAAGAGTCCCCCCTTTTCCTTTTCTTTCCTCTTCTGCTAGTGGTATTCCCACGGGCTTATCGCCAAAGCGTGAACATCCGACAAGATTATCAGGTATCCAAGAGGACGACCCCCTCCCTGCCATGGGTTTCTCTCTTTTACTCGGTTGGATCGTCAATCTAAATCGAAACGGAAATCGAAACGGAATCTGCGAGCGTCTATGGCTGGCACTGCTAAGCTGCTAATCAATTAAGGCGTCCGTGCTTGCTTGCCTTGAATAAAGTCCGAGTTCTTTTACTTAAACCACTGGATTAGACACTTGTGATGTATTCCTTTGAATCAATGGAAATTTTACTAACTACAACAACAAGAATAATAATAGTAACTATTAGTAAAATAATCAGATAAAATTGTTATGAAAAAACACATTCAAGTATATTGTCAGTTTGTAATTTATAAAATGGCTAAATTATGTTGAAACGGTGAAATAAAATTTATTTGACCTTTGTAATCCATTGCAACATAAGTTTTCTACTATATTTAGTTTCTATGTACTTTTCAGCATAATGTGTTCTCCACATTGTCTAGTTACATGACTTTCAACTTGATTTGAGAAATTTAATTTTTGGAATTTCTAGAGTGGGTACTCCTATACCAAATCACTCATTCCATTAGTTGATTAATGTAATTATCGAGATGCAAACGTTGACAGAAATACGCGTAAATACATCACGCGTGTAAACTCGTTACGCGTGAACGCATCGATTCCAATTTCCCGTATTTTAATTAACATTGATACTCAATCATCGATCGCTAACAAATTCGATCCTCAAAAAGAACAAATCACTATCATCTATTTCATTGAATGCGGAAATGAAAAATATCCACATGGTTACGTTGAGTAACGCTCTAGGTGTCACCTCAGTTCATACAAGTCGATGCTGAAGTAAATATTCGCAAAGCCAGAGCTAAGGTGATACTGTTCGTCCTACATACTTACACAGCTTCACTAAAAACTCTTGACTTTCCCAAGAGCGAATTTTTCGACGAGCTATTTGAGAGTCGTATCCCTAGCCCAATAATGCACATTTGAAATTTATTTGCTCACAGATCTGCACAGGTCTTTGAATTTTATTGAATTTCACTGTCACGAAATATTGCTTCCATGGATCGTCACATTTTACTCAAACCCATAACCATAAATTTCTCCGAATAGAGCATCATTTGCAGTCGCCCAGACGCAAAAGGCACACCTCAAATTGGGCACCTCGTTACGCTTTTCCGGGGAACAGAGAATCTAAAAGGACAAATGTAAATACCTCAGTGTACCTTGCATGTACAATTACGTGTAATATCAGATCAAAGCCACGGCCTTTGACATATTATCATCGAGCAAACGAAGGAACAACCTAGGGAGAGGAAGAGACTGAGCACCAATCGATCGTCGTCTTGCCACGAGCGCTTTCCCTCCGGAAACGCAATCGAGGGAGGAAACAGCAAAAGGAGGAGAATTCCCTGAACCGACATCAGGGGCGTCTTATGCCTGAATTGCATCGAATGTATACTGGTGCTTTCTCTTCAAGCCAACCACAGTTTCGACTGATTGCGCTGACGGATACGCCTAATGATCCAGCCCCGTTGCATTGAAGTTAAAAAAGCTGCTCAGTCTACAATAGTTGAAGTATGACTTTTGCACAATTGTGTTTACCCGAAAAGTTTGTATGAAACAGTGCTATTAATAGTCCGCATCAAACGTTCTATCGTAGGTATATAACTGTAACTTTGTGTTACTTTATTATTGGATGAGTCAAAATGAACCAACCAATTTGACGAGTGAATTTCACAAAAAAGTTGAGACATTGATAATGGGTAAGAAACACTGACAAGGACAATTCTAATCATGAATTATATTATGATATAAAATTCAAATATTGCTATGATAAACGCATAACTTCCAGATGTTGCCAAGCCATCTGATGAAATAACAAAATTACGGATACTTACAACTTCACTCACACTGGTACCACGTTAACCTAAACGTAAAGTCTCTGGCACGTCAAAAGCACCACTACTTGCGATATCGGCCTCCTCATCATCAAGTAGTCACAGTATTGGTAATCTTAGGTTGTCTAATGATGGTCCATCATCAGCCACAGCCAAAGAGGTGGATACCAGAGCATAAGCTAATTATGATGAGTGTTGTCTTATCACTTATACTTCCAATAGTAATGATTTTCATCTGTATTTTCTAAGGAAAATATTTTAAAAGAAATTTTTTTCCATCTGCGTTGGCGAACGAGAAAGTATTTAGATGTATGGGTTGCAATTTTACTTCCCAATATATAAGTATCTTACTAGAAGTGCCAAAAAATGCGGCTGAAAGGTAACAAGACTGGTGGTGTCAAACCCCTAGATAACATGCCGCTCAGCGGTCAACTGACCATGACACGTGAACAAATACAAACGTCCTTGTACTTCAGAGGTGATGACGTCTTAGATGGAAGCATTATTAAAAAGCACTGATTGAGCAAACTTATGATAGAGGATTGTGCTAAACAAGAAATTGCCGCTACAGTTGCAGGAATTTCTAAGACCGCCATCAACATCTCTTTTCTCGTGAAGTACTGCCAGCGTCATCTAGGAAGGGCTCTATTACGTCACTTTTTGCATAAAAGCCGTTATTTTGCATAGTTTTTCAATTATTTAAATAATAAATCGGTACCCTAGTAGAAACGTTACTACGTAAACTCGGCAAAAACTCGTCAACCTGTTATAAGCCCATTTACTCATATACCTTGACGAGTTTCTGGCCAGTTTATGTAGTAATTTTCTACCAGGGTAATTATATACCAAAAGTGACTTTGGAAACCATGATATTTTGATCGCACAAATGATACCGATCGTGAATGAATTTTTGGCCAAGAGCGGTAATCGCAAGTACCGTTCAACTCTGGTACGAAGTATGGAATAAACTTTTACAACTGTGCTCAAAACCAACACAATAACGAACTTTGTCAATCGCGTTAGAAAGTACTTGCGAGTGAAAGGCATAAGATATTGTTACGAACAATACGAAAAATAAAAAGCTCTATTAAAAAACGACGACCGGGCCACTATTCCCCGTATTATAAATGAGTTGGTCACCTGTAAACGCCCATTAAATTTTACGAAATACAGAAGGAAACGGTGTAAGTTTCCGGAAGTTCATTGTTGACACCCTCAAAATCGTCAACTTAGAAAAAAAGTCAGAGGCAAACGTACCGAAGAGCACGAGAAAACTCAAAATTAACATCACTGACAAACTTTCCCCGCTTGACTTTTACTTCCTCTACGCGTTCTCTTTCCAATGTATATACAGTACAGCTCGGTCCGGGCAAAGATTCTCTCGAAACACCGGCCCGAGGGAACGATAGCGCTGATAAGCCTAATGCAGGAGAGAATTTCGGGCGGGGAGAGGCCTTTGGCTCCCTGCCGCGCTGCACCTGTATGTATATACCTATACGCATCCGTGGCACCGCTTAAAATTCGAGTGGCGGACGCAGCGAGGGAAGGCCGATATTATTTCGGGGCAATTAAATTAGCCGGCTATTGGGATTGAATTATTCCGAGAGATATACGCGCCAGACCTCCATGGCGGTGCTTCGAACGCGCAGAGACGGCACGTTAATCAGATAGCCGGGCCGTGATAATTACACCCTGAGCTGAGTACGTGTACTAACGCATTATACATGCATGGGCTAGCGGCTATTAAATCAGCGAGTATGGGACCATTTTTACCATCACATATTATTGTCGTGATTGCTACTGTTGCTGTTGTCATTACACGACGATCTTGATTCCTCACCCTCTCTCCATTTTTTTCCGAGTGTTTTATTATTCACTATGGTAATGGTGGTAAAATAGGATTATTACGTTACAGGTTGTAGGAGAAATTGGTGAGAGCGTTCGTTCGAGTGGCGGACGGCGTTTATTGTTATTAGTCGAAAGTCCGAGATTACGATTGAATAGGTAATGAACGGTGGGTTCATTTATGCAGAGATTGGGAGCTGCGAACTATGTAAGCGCTGTTAAAAGGAACTAATGGACTTGTCGATGAGAAGGGAAAGAAAAAAAATCCTCGACGCGAGTAATGAAATACAAGAGACACGTAGCTGGAGCTGATAATTCGATTTAATTGATGTGTCTCGCGAACGAGACATGCTCGCTGTGCACGATTTAGATGGATAAATAGAGATAGACAGATATGAATCTGTTCCTTACGTAAGATGTACTTTTGGCCAATATAAAAAAGGAAACAAATGTTATGATTACACCACAAAGATAACAGTTACTTACTCCAATATTTATTTTGTATCATTAAGAATGGAGTTCAAAGTCCGTATTTAATTTCCTCACATGTGACACAGCATCAACATTTCGTGTTTTGATCCTTGTAAGTACGTAAATGGTGAGTCGAATACGTGACTCTACCATTCAACCCATTTAGGAGAATAATTTATTGAAACTATCTTTAAAATTGTACACGTAGCTTCATTTTTACAACAAAATTTGATGATTCAGAAGCAGTAAAGTTTCATGAAATTGAACAAAATTACGATCGTCAAAACTGCAAAACGCTAAAAGTCTAATTTCTCCACGAAGCTTATAATATGCAATTGTTATCCATACTCCGTTTGTGGTCAAAACAAATTTTGGTTGTCTTTGACAAAGTAATCTCAAACAAAATTTTTTGCCACCATAATTTCGTGTAACGCTACTGTTTTCCTCTTCAGCAGCAGTCATTTGCTCAAGCTTCACAAGTTTGGTCTAGTGAAGCTCTACTGATAATAAAATCAAAGAAATTTTGGGTGTACACGACCTGCATCTTGTTGGCTTTGAGTGTTTCGACAAGCTTCTTCTTATCAATAAAATATTCAATGCACCCGAGCTCCATGGTGTCTATTATTTTAAAAATATAACCGTTTGAATCTTTTTCCATAAACGATGTTTCAAATAGCTTGTTTTTTAACTTGCCGTCTTTTTTGTATGTCATTATTGTCGAAGCACTCGGAACTGTCACAAGAAAGAAGCCTCCTGGAACGAGATGTTTCGAAACGTTGTTGATAGCAGTTTTGATTGTTGAGTCATTTCCAAAATCGTAGTGAAATGAGAAGTTTGACACAACAACATTAAACGTTATTTCAAAATCAAGTTCTTCCTGGAAAGCATCAAAATGTACGAACGAAGCAGATATTCCAATCTGTTTCTCACGTTTCTTGGCCTCATACAATGTCATAGTACATGGAAATCTGGTATTTCTTGAATTTCGGTAGATCACCGCCTTTACCACAACCAATATCGAATACAGTATCGTTTTTTATTAACAAAGCGTTGTAAAAGTACTGCCTTTACATAATTATTCCATTTGAAAACGTTAACCGCTAGGCAAAGTGACGGGCTTCTCCTTATGCCTTAAATCCGCTCTTTGCATGAAATTACAGTTATTGACTTAAGTATAAACAAATGCATGAAAAAAAGTGAAGATGAAAAAAAAACACACAGAAATCTTGTTAGTTGAAAACACAACTCTACGAAAAACGTAAATAATGATAATATACTAAAGGATATAATTAAAAGGGCGCACTTATGGCACGATTCATTAGATCAATCTTGACAACCCAAAATCCGATCGATCACCTTCAGACTCACGCACGCGAGATAGGTAGCACCTCATGTGAACGCTTATCGGAGAGTTGTACTACCTACTCGGCATTGTGCACCTTCCCCCCCCTCGTGATAATTATAACCCAGGCTAGCCTCCCCGCGTTACGTTACGTGATCGTATCTCCCACTCACGTAACGCAGGAGGTGCCCATACCACGAAACGAAATAATGCACGAGCGAGGCAAGGGGGTATAAAAAATGAGGCGAAGACTCGTTTATCAGAGAAGGGGGGGAAAACATTGTCGGGCTCGACAAGATATACCACCCGGTAAGATATGAAAACAGGGAAATGATGCACAAATAAAAAAAAAAAATAAATAAAAAAGAAAAAACGTACGGTCCGGTTGAAGGATGAAAACCAAAGGATCTCGCGTTTCATTAATCACGCGCCGAATCGTATCGTTGGTGGCGCAGCTGCTCCCTTTCTTCCTCCTCTCGGTATATATACGATCGTTGTAATCTTTCTTTTCTTTTTCTGTTAACGCGCCAGAGAGCCGTGCACTGACTCTTTTTCACGGGGACCGAAAAATTTATCTTGTCGGGATTTAAATTCACACGCAGCCGTGCGGCTTTATCGAAGCGTGCCGGGGCTTTATTGTCGCCCGACATCGGTGGCATGTGTTTGTAGTTAACGAGATGTGTTCCGATACGAGTTTATGAAACTCAACGGGGCACGAGAAAAAATCTGTTGTTTTTACTAAATTTTTTTTTTTTTTTTTTTTGCTTTTTCGTTTGATTAAACGCGTATGCAGTGCAATTTGGTCGCCGGCTGACTTTCTTTTGTAGATATGTACAAACTGACAAAAAATATGATGAAAATTATGGAGAAATTCTAGCAAAAAATACCACTTTGCACTGTAAATCGGATGCAAGTTGGCGAAAAAGAAAAAAAAAATATTTTCAACCGTAATCCTAACTATTCAAACTATAATTTTTATTGCTAAAACATCGTTACTATTAAACATTTTTTTCCTTACCTTTTAGCGTAAAAACAATTAATTGGTTGACAACAAAGTCAATTCGCGTTTGATGGTCATAGCTTCGAAAACACCTAGAGAGTAGTGTATTACGGACTCGTCTCTGCTCCGCTGTGCGGGGAAAAAATTCGTATGCGAGAGGAGGCAGAGCAAACGACCACTGGTATTCGAGCCGGGAGCCAACTTTGTACTACAACAACAGCAGCTGTAGAACAGCTCTGAGCTTACGAGTATTGAATCTGTGTGGTGGTGATGGTTAGATTCCTAACGGGGTCGAGTGGTATACGTCGTAGCATGCGGTAGTATCAATTCCCCGTAGCTCTCTCAATATTTATGATTATAAAATTCACATGGCATTATTTCGATCTGGGAAACGCGAGCATGACGGAATGTCAGTGCTCCGCTCGAGGCATAACAATACATTTTTATGTGTGAGCGAGGAGTGTGCACGACACGACGGTGCACGTGTATAGCGGACGTTGTTTTAGAAATCGTTTTGATATACCTATCTCGGTGAGCATATAAATTTCGCGCTCCCCTTTCTTGCAAAATGTCTTTTTGACATAAAAGTCAGGGTTTTGTTTGTTTTTTCCTTGTTTTTTTTTATTCATACTGTACATCCGTTTTCACGATCACTGTTGTGGGTATTTTTCGAGGTATTTCTTTTATTCGAGTGCATTGTCGGGTGCTATGTTTTGTTGGGTTTTTTTTTTTTTTTTTTTTTTTTTTTTTTTTTTTTTTTTTTTTTTTTTT